TCTGATTTTGCAATGTTTCCTAGGGCACGGAAGTATACCCGATCCTGTCCACTGCTCTCCATGACCCACGTCATTTTGAAAAACCAGACACCTTCAACCCTGATCACTTTCTGGATGCTAAGGGGGCACTGAGGAAGAGTGAAGCTTTTATTCCCTTCTCCATGGGTAAGTTGGTCCAGTACCCCTCTCCCAGATACAGGAGGGTGGTTCCCATTCTCTCCTTCAGACAAAGGGTGGCATGCACTTGTTTACTGAGCATTTCAGTTATATTCCACTTGCTTGAACCCAAATATCCTAGTTCACCTTCACTACAGCCATTGAGGAAACTTGAGCAGAGATATTATCTCCTGAAGGCACATTTGGCACTCCATAAGATTATGGCAAACTGCATATACTGCAAACATGTACTAACAACAGCAACAACATCAAGAACAACAACAACAATGAAAATAGTAGCAAGCAAACCTCATGTATTAGCCCTAGTCTGAGGCCAATACTCCACTGAATGCTAATGATAATGCATTAAGCAAATCACATAGTGTCTGACCCATGTAATGTAAAGTATGGCAAGGGAGATGGACATTCATCAAACGGTTGCCAAAAGATGTTATAATTAACGAGTTAATGCTCATCTTATACTTAGGATTGCGTGGGACAAAGTATATTCTTGTAGGGGACAATTACTATTCTTGGTCATGACAGGTGCTCCAAAGGTGGCTTTGGGGCAACAAAATAGGAAATATTGGCTAATTTTGGTGGTTTGATGAAAAAACACTTATCTCAGAAACAGGCTTCTAGGTTGAAGCCTCATGTGTGAGTAGTGATCAGCCACTGGGAAGAGCATCTCAGGGAGAGGGAACCGCAAAGACAAAGAGACTGAATGTGGAATCATCATGATGCATTTGATAAACAAAAAAGCTCTGGTGTGTAGCTTAGGAAAGGGGACCGGGTGAACAGCTTGGTTTGGGAGGGTCTAGAGGGTTAAGAGAGGAACTCGGCTTTTCCCTAGAGCCCTGAGGAGTTTGGGAAGGTCTTGACACATTCATCTGTCCATGTTCCCATGCTGTACTCTGGCTTGTTTTTTTTGTTTTTTTTTTTTTTTTCTGAACTGAGGAAACACACTTCATATTTATTTGCTACTACCATCTGGGCCACCAGCTTTCCAACGTTATTTAAATGGAAATCTATCCAGGTAAATTAAAATTCAGGACTAGGCTATAAAGCAACACTCAAAGTACAACAGAGCTGAAAACCTGTTTATTTCTCAGTCTCTATCTTACTCTCTTTTTTTGTTTGTTTTTTTTTTTTGAGACAGTGCCTCACTATGAAGTTCAGGCTGACCTTGAATTCACTATGTAGTCAAGCTGATCTCAAATCTGTGGCAATCCTCCTGCCTCAGCCTCCCAAGTGTTGGGATTGCACCACCACGACCGGTCTCTCAGGCTGTTCTTGCATGAACCTCACTTTCCTCCAGCTATGTGGGCCAATATTGTTAGGTGAAGAAAATTTTATTTTAGCATCTGTCCATATCACACTGGTAAAGCAGGAGGATATCTGTACTGCTGTAAATATATATTTTAGGATACAGGCAGTGAAAAAATAGCTCTTAATTTTCCATTTCTTGTGATTTAGCTTCTTGTACATTTTAAAAATATTTACTCAGTGGGCATGGTGGCACGTGTCTGTAATCCCAGCACTCAGGAGGCTGAGGTACGAGCATCACTGTGCAATCGAGGTCAACCTGAGATATAAAGTGAGTTCAACCTAGCCTAAACTACATCATGAGACCCTGTCTCAAAAACAAATTTTTAATTCAGTTTCAAAAGTTCTGTTATTGGAAGAAGAGTATAGATTAAATATATTATCTGATTAAAATGTAATAAAAAGTGATATGACTTTGCTGCAGAGGAGTTATACTGTGATGTCCCTCATGCTCACCAAACTTACCAGTTTGACGGATGTCAGCTGTAGACTTAATATCTGAACCACGTAAAATCAAACAAACCAGACAATCGCTTTAGTTCCCTTTCCTCCAACATTGAATACAATGTTTTTTAGATCTGGAACTTCGTGGTAAGGTTACATGTATTCTTCAAATCTTATCTGGTTTTGCGTTGTGTGGACTTGTCTGAGCAGTTTGCAGCCTGGGAAGAAAGAAAGCTAAACCGGGCCAAAGGAGCATAATGAAAAAGCTATCAAAAATTGTTCAAATGGATAGCCCCAGATGGACAGGGTGTGTAGAGAATTCATCAGGCTATTTTGGCGGAATATGGGTCACAGTACCAGTTCCAGGGGGAAGAACCACTTTAGGGCCTCCCTGAGTACTTCGCAGCCCATGTCTCCTACTTTCTGGATGTATCCGAGGGAAGTGGGTACTGCCCCAGATGCTTCTATGCAAGTATAAGGCCCCAATGATTTGAAAGGCACTGGGGATGCCCTGAAACCCATCCTTGACAGGCCTTTCTCAAAGTCATCAGTTTGGAGATGAAGAAGCACTGAACTAGGGGGCAGTCTCTCTGATTATCTGCCTGAATTTGAGACTCCCTTTGCCCTCATTCCTCCTCAAGCCCAAGATTTCTAAAGTAGTAGTGTGATTCCCTACATGTCTGAGAAACCATTGAGGCCATAAATCACACCTCCTGTGTATTGGTCTCATTTATAATTTTATGTACAGTATGAGAGTATTGTATGTACATGCTTGAAGCTCCTGGTAGAGACCAGAAAACAACCAAGGTGGAGAGAAACGGGAGGAAAGGAAAGAAGAAAAGAGAGGAGATAGACACAGAGAGAGACAGAGACAGAGATAAAAAGTCAGACAGACAGACAGACAAAGGCACATAATCTCAGAAACACCTTCCCACTCAGAAAAAAAACACAAAACAGTTACTATACTATAGATTTTTAATATGAACTAGGTATTTGTCTGAGTTTCTATGAATAGTAACTGAACCCTCACAAGAGCCCTATGAGATGGGTAATAGTCTCCTGCTATGAAAAATGAAGGATGCCAAAAATGTTACTTTATACATGTGCACATAATTTTATACTTACACATACCCACAAATGGGTCCTTATCTCATATAGGGCCACTGAACCCTTTAGAAATCAAACAAAACTACAAACTACCATACCTCCTAACTCTTACTGAACACTGGGCATCCACACAAAGATCTGTGCCCAGTAACAGAAGCACTGGGAACCTCCTTTAAGTCCACTCCTAATTACTGGTTAGAGGTTATCCCTGTGCCATGGCCACAGGTGTCTAAGATTAGAGCTATGACAGGGCAAAGAATATCACCTTGGCCTACCCTGTGATCCTCTGTGCCCACAGGGAAGCGTATCTGTCTTGGAGAAGGAATTGCCCGTGCTGAGTTGTTCCTCTTCTTCACCACCATCCTCCAGAACTTCTCCATAGCCAGCCCAGTGCCTCCTGAGGACATTGACTTCACACCCCAGGAGGTTAGTTTTGCCAGAATACCCCCAGTATACCAGATGTCTTTCCTGCCCCGCAAGATGGACTGAGGGGAGAAGAATAAAGGATTGCAGGGTCATTGAATACCTAACTGTAGAGAATGACAGCTCACTTCCTGCATCTAAGAAACCTGTTGTGAACCAGCATCTTTCCCCTACCTGGCTGCTACCCCATGCAAAAGTTATTTTTCTAGGCTTCCTTCCATACTGCTGCACTTCTAAAGCTCTGTGTTGATTTCTTTCTTGTGTGAATTGAGGTGCAGAAGTTAGGAAGTGGATCAACAATAATCAAGCCCCTTCTTTGGCAAATATAAACCAGTTAGGGGTTAAAAGTGATAAATTGCCTCAAGGATCTTCTGGAGTTCTGCTTCCCAGGATACAGCTCACTCGGAATGACTTTTTCCTTGCTCAGAACGATCACACACTGTGTTTGTCACCTCCTTGTGTTCCATGTTCTGTGCTAAACGGTTCTATGTAAACATATCCTCTCCATTGCCCCAGGTGATGGGTGCCAGTGTCATGCCCATTTTACAGATGAATAAGAGAGGTCAGACAATGGCAACAGCTGCTTGAGGTCACAATGCCAGTGAGTGGAGGAGCAGATTGATCCTCCAGTGTAAAGCTCAAACTCTTCACTATTGCACCACTGAATGAAGATCAAATTAACCTAACATAAAATGGACCATTCTAACATCAATTAAGTGCTACATAGTTCATCTACAAGATTGTACCTCTGGGAGAGGTTGGAGTTGGAAATTGGTCTCATGTGTGAGGGCAGGACGGAGCCACCGTGCCTCAAGTAGTCAAGCCATCTTAGTCTTGAAAAAGTATCCTGACTTGATAGTTGCTAGGCAACATTGCAAGAGTATAAATAAACATTCCTACTGTTGACGTTAGGTCCTCTTGCACATCGGGTAAGAGGTTGCCTCCACCTAACCCAGCTCTTCTCTCTTGATTTTATTTTCCTCGTACCCACTGCTGTTCCTCCCCGGGATATAAAAAGAGACCCAAGAAGTCCGTTACAGTACCCATATCACTCTCTAGTTTCAGACAAGTTTGTCACTTTCCCCCAAACATTGTACTTATTTAGCAGCCACTCCCTGATCTCCTTTCCCCAGCCCCTGGAAATACCAATCTCATGTCTGTCTCAATGGATTTGCCTTCTGGTCTTCTGGATATTTCATAT